TAGGATGAGAGATACAGTATAGCGGGGTTTTTTGAAGATAACAAATTTCGTGAATTTCACAGATTTTTCAAAATTCGCAAGAATAAATTCCTTGAAAATCAATTTAATATGGTACAAGATAGTAGAATAGTGGAATTTCACAAAAATTAATCCTACAAACTTTCGGATATGGGTCATTTGCGAAAATTATTATCCTCAAAGAAACCGCTATACGGTAGAGAGAGGGAGGGGAGTATGAGAGGGCAAGGTTTTAGTAGATTAGAGATTTTATTATTTTATTATTATTAGAGATTTTAGTACAATTATCATAAATTATTTTAGCAGTTTTATTTTGGTAATTGGCCATTCAATTTATTTCCTTTTCCACCTTGATGATGTCACGTTGGTATCATTTATTGTACACACAATTTATTATGACAATGAATAACCACCGCCCACACACCAGGCCTGCCTATGAAGTGTGATAGGAACTATTAGTAGCCTATTATTAAACTGCCGATCAATGCTACATACGATGTATTAACAAAATTGTGGGGTAATCTTGAGAAAGTTAATTAAGTGTTATTATAATTAGCATACCAAAACATCTTATCAATAATAATAATTCTCTCCTGCTACAGGTTGACCACACTATTATAATGTACCTCATCAATCCAGAGGGAGACTTTGTAGACTATTACGGTCAAAACAAGACAGCAGATCAAGTACACGCTGGCATTAGCAATCAAATGCTTAAGTATAAACACAGGAAGTGATGAGAAGCATTCAATTGACTTTCATATAATAATACCATGTAATAATAAAAGTTAATGTTAATGTAAGAGGAATTCATTTCACACACATAAAGAGAATGAGGTAGTATAACAGTAAAAGCAGCACAAATGTCAGAAGAATGAAGGAACCAAGCAGAACATAAAACAAGCAAGAGAAGGGAAATATTATGACAGTTGAGTTTGAACAATGTGAGTTACAGTACAGTGTGCATTGGGTGCTCTCTCTCTAAAGTCTATCATCTTCAGAGTCACTGCTGGACACATCATCCCACTGTGTCAATGGAGCATATATTTGTTGGATGACACTACTTTGAGGTTTCTTGAGTCGATATACACCAGCAAAAACGTAATAAACGACACTGAAGACAACAAGGAAGAACCCGAGCCATCCTATAGAGTATGACCATCCTTGACTGGCTCCTTTGTTGGACTTCAATTCTTTTGTGTACACCAATAGACCAATGAACCACAGGAAAGCTATAAAAATACATAATGTAATGTATAGGTGAAGGAAGTAAGTACAATTGACTAGAATAAGTTACATGTAGGGTAGCTATATCAAGGAAATAAGGGAAGGTATTGGTACACTAAAAGGAGTCCATTAAGACGGAGAGAGATGGATGAAGGATAAAGGATTGAGAGAAGGAGAGAGAGAGAGTAAGGATTGAGAGAAGGAGAGAGAGAGAGTAGAAGGAATTTTATTGCTAAAATCTCGTCATAACAAGATGACATACCATACTGTAGATATACATGCATGTACAAGCATTTGACAACACTATATAAGTGTTATAAATATATGTACATGTACAAGCATTCAATGACACTATAAGTGTTATAAATGGCTACCTTGTATTCCGAAGGCCAGTGCAACTGTGAATAAGAAACGAGGTCTATGAACTATCAATGCAACCATACCAACAGCCCAGCCAATCAATCCTGACATTAATGACATACACAGCATTGCTCTTACACCAATAACAGCACCTGTGAGTCAGTGAAGTACATACAATAAATAAAAGGATATACATAAAGTGACCATAACAATCAGCACTAGTAGTGACTACATGTAGTAGTGAGTGAGTTGGTTTACTAAATAAAAGTTACAAATTATCGGCAGCGTTTTATTTTTATTGTTCTGTATTTTGGTGGTCGTTAGTTTGTCATTATTATTCCACAAAAATTAATCATGAAATTTTTGGACCATGAAAATTTGAAACTACACAGTAATCAGCGATTAGCTAAATATTAAAGACATTAAAATTATCATTTTAGGTCTCTATTAATTGCTATGATTTAAAGGATCATCAGAGTTACTAAAGTAGTAGACCAACCCACTACCCAACACACGTACACTAACCTGATGGGTTTGATAGACCTTGACACTTTGTATTACTACAGTTCTGCCAGAGACCCATGTGACCATTCTCCCCCTAATAACAAAAAAGTCATTTGAAATAGTCTCAATTTGAAATC